GGGCGGCAGAGGCGGGGGGCGCGAAGGGAGGCGACGGAGGCGCTGTGCGCGGCCCGGGCGGGGTCTGACCAGCGCGGCCTCCCCGCCCGGCGGAACAATGAGATCAAGAAAGGGTTCTCTGCTCATCCACGGGGCAAACCGTGTCGTTCTCCCACTGGGGAAACTGAGGCACAGGGGAGCCAGGACTTTGTTCCGGGAACCATCCTCTCTCTTCTCCACCAGTCGAGGCAGCCAGGTGCCCTGGCGCGGGGGCCAGCGTTCTTGGTTCTGCCTTTTGCCGCGGTCCAGACCTGCTACCCCTAAACGGCGCCCTCTGCACACTTCCCTTGCTACCACATTTTGGCCGTTTCCGTTCTTAGGAGGACGCCTGGCACGCTGCCTCCAGGGAAACCCCATCCAGCCCTTGACCTTGGGCAAAGGCAACCCTCAAGTAAGCTGGACCTGACCTGGTCGAGGAGAAGAGTGCAGAAACGACCCCTCGGGCCGGCTTTGACGTCTCTTTCACATGCTACGCAGCGTTTACTGAGGGACACAGTGAAAGCCCCAGGGACCGGGGCACAGGGCTCCCAGGCTATGTCAGACCCTGCACATCCCCAGGAATCTTACCATTCCAGCTGCAGAGGGAAGGCTTGCACTGCACTCCCTTCAAGAATAAGCCAGGACAGGATGTGACTAAGTGCGAGAAGTGAGTGACTGACAGCGGGTCCAAGGGGTTCCAGAGAAGTGGCGGCTCAGATTCTCTTCAGCTGAAGCGGAGGGCTCCGCCGCTGAGCACCCCTACCTCAGCAAACTCTGCAACAATAAAGTGAAGAGTCGGCCTCCAACTGCTCCCACAGGTGACTGTGACTCGCCCTAAATCACACCTTGCATGCACACACCAGTGCCTAACTTGATTTTGAGTGGTGCCTTTGACTCTGTCCGTCATTCAGTCAACAAGTATTTATTGCACATCATGTTGAGGTGTAGAAGTACCCGGAACTATGTATAGAGAACACAGAGGCTGTCACTTCAGGCAGCTGCTTTTCACTCTGGACCTGTTTTCCTTCTGTAAGACAGGGATCTTCTTTCTTCCTCTTACCTTGCCCACGGCAGAGACTTAGTCATTGTGTGTGTACAGCTGAGCCTATAAACAGTATTCAGGTCTCCCCCTCATTACAGGCCTGGTTCCTCGGTACCCAGAAGCTAACTGGCTAATTCTGATCTTCCCTCAGGCCACAAGGTGCTTGCTGATGTCCTTTGCCTTCAATCTCTAACGGCACAGCAGTTTAGCTGGCTGCCTAGAAGCCCTATCATCTGTGGGGTGAGAGAGGGATTCTGGCCCTTTCTTATCTCAGGCACTGGGTTCTGGAGCCCCTCCCAATGCCGCCGCACCCCTTTGACCCTTCTACCAGACACTATAAGCTGCTTACCAAGTCACACGATAGGGCAAGCGGGGCTTTGGCTCCTGCGGACTCTTCCTCCCTGAGGGTAGCTGTGGGGAGGGTAGGCCAAGACAACCTAAGGAACTATAGGTCGGAATCCTAGTCCACTTCCAAGCAATGTCAGCCCCATTCCTATTTCTCTGCCTTCCTTTTACCTCTTCTGTGGTGGACGTGTCAGGACACCTCTTTGCTGGGGCAACCGAGGAGCCTTGGGAGCGGAGGGAGGAGACAGAGGAGGGGTGTGCCGGGGCAGGTGCATCTAGACCTTGGAGGCCCTGGCGCTGCCGCTCCTCCCTGGCAGACAGTGGGTGTGAGCAGCAGCCATGGAACCACTTGATACATGTGCCTCCCAGGCTTCTGGCTCCTGCCCCTCAGATGTGCCACGCTAACATCCTGCCCACCAGGAGGAGGGAACAGCAAGATGCCATTTGAGGAAGAAATAAATCCAATCCAGCATCTCAGACACTTTTAAAAATAGCAGCTCCAGGATGGTGTTTTAGCTCCTATTTTTATCAGATTTCTATGGCTGGACCACGGAGCGGAGCTGTTCCCAGGGTTCTGGATGGCGGGAAACATCACCGTTGCTGTGTTAGAAATCTGCCTGTAGGCCAAGTCTAAAACACATTCCAGGGCCAGGGATGTAGCTCGGCGGCACAGTGCCTGCCTGGCAAGCACAAGGTCCTGAGTTCAATTCCCGGTACCAAAACAAAAACTACATTCCAGCCTCAAGAAATCACTATATGTAAGCCCTCTTTGTATTTAGGGCCATAATCAATTAAGCACAGTTTATGGCCTGCTTTTTTTCTTAAACTCTCTGGGTTGCAATGCCTCCCTTGCGCAGTAAGCTGTTGCAGGCTTTTCTTCACTTGTATTATTTTAGACTACTTGAACTGCCATAAACTATGTGGCTTATAAACATCAGATCTGTATCTAACTATTCTGGATGCTGAAGGTACCAGATTTGGCATCTGCTAAGTGCCCCCTTCTTACTATCACCTCGCATGGTAGAAGAGACGTCTCTCGGGTCTCTTTTATAAGACACTAATCCCATCATGAGGACTCTGCTCCCATGAAATTTTCTCGTAGCCTTGCCTATCGTTTCTTTTTTCCTCCCGAGGAGAAATACCATCATGTTGGGAGTTAGTATATTAACATATGAATTTTAGGGGGATACAAACTCAGGCTATAGCACGTATCTAACCAGAAATATCTCTGATTACATCCATTTTGGTCACACACACACAGCAGGAAAAGAGTTGCTAATATTTACTGAGTTGCTAATACTGAGTACCATATCTCACAAAATCCTACTAATCCTCACAAACCTCTCTGGGCTAGGCACTATTACGACTCCTATTTTATGTAACGACAGAGATTATACTTGGTTATGGCACACAGAGTCCACGCTGAGTATAAGCAGGACAGGAACACACCCTGAGGACATTTCCCCTTAGCCTTAGCTGTTTGTCTCCCCCACCTCCCCGCCTCCCTGCTGGGGATCAAACCAGGGGCCTTACGTCTGCGAGGTGAACACTCGACCACTGAGTTTCAGCCCAGCCCATCATCTCATCCTGGCTCTGAAAAAGTGCCTAGTACTCTGACTGTAGTGCATGTCTCATGCTACAAGCTTAGCTCTGAGACCCAGCCATAATAACCCTGCCTTTGCTTGTGCTTTCTATTTGGCTAACGATGATCAGGTTTTGGCCAAAAGCATGAAAAGGCAGTGTATGATCTCACTTTTATGTGGAATTTAAGCAAACACAGAAACAGAGTACAAAGGTGGTTGGTAGGGGCTGGCGGGGTGGACCGGGCAGATGGTCGAAGGATACAAACTTTCAGTTAGACAGGACATGCACTGTGCAACATGGTGACTCTAGTTAATAACAATGTATTGTATACTTGAAAATTGCTAGGCGAAATTTTAAACACTGTCATCATAAATGACTTGTAACGTGAGGTAATACATGTTAGCTAGTCTCATTTAGCAATTCTGTGTACATATATATCAAAACTTCAGGTTGTATACCATACATACAGGCAATTTTGTCTGCTAAAATAGTATTTTAAATTACACTTTTAAAAATCTTTGGTATAAGCTACAGTGGACGGCATTACTCCTTCTAGGTAGTCCTTATTTCATCATTACTTTGTGTTCCTTCTGAAATTTTAAGTTCTATATGTGCCCTATCTAGGTTCTTTTTTAATGTTAAAGGGAATAAAAAATTTAAACAAACAATAAAAACGATACGGAATTTCAAAGCAAAATGACAGGAAACAATGGTTGTTATATTGCATATTGTTATCTTCAAAGTAGTTGTTCACAATAGGCATGCAAAATTGATCAAACAATTAAACATTAATTGTTCAATACACCAATAAAAATTACTACTACAATTATCTTAGTACAACTATCTTGTGTATATATATATATATATTATGTGTTCCCTGTTTTTTCTTTCTCCCTTTTTCTTTCTTTCTTTTCTTCTTTCTTTCTCCTTTTCTTTCTTTTCTCCTTTCCCTCATCCCAGTGTTCTTTCCTTTTGAGCAGTTTCTTTCCCTTTCACTATATCTAAAGTACCTTTTCGATTTTATTTACTCTTTCAGGTTCTGACACTAGGGAGACAATATGATGTTTACACACACGGGTCTGATTTATTTCACTTATGAGTATGGTCTCTAGTTTCATTCATTTACCTATAAAAGGCTTGAGTTTATCTTTCTTTGTAGCTGAGTAATACTCCACGTATAAAAATATCACATCTTTTTTTATCCATTCCTTGGTTGATTGGCATGTGGGTTGTTTCCAAGATTTAGCTATGACAAATTGTGCTGCTATAAACATGGGTGGGTGCACATGTACTGCTGTGGTATGATGTTTTCAATTTTTCTGGAAAAATACCCAGCAGGGGAATAGCTGGGTTGAATGGGACCTTTAAGCTAATTTTTGAGGAATCTCCACACTGATTTCCATAGTGATTGCACCAGTCTGCACTCCCATCAACAGTGGAGATGGGTTCCTTTTTCCCCACAGCCTCACCAGCATTTGATATTGCTTGATTTCTTGATGATAGCCATTCTTTCTGGGGTGAAATGAAATTAAGTCTAGATTGTTGTAAAGAAGGCAAAAAGAAAAGGAAAGAAAAGAAACAATTGGGGTAGATACCCAAAACCTGTTTTATTAGATTGAATTGAAATTGACAGACTTTAAAGTGATTCATTTCCTGCCAACCATGTTTACTTGGTAACTTCAAGTTGACACAGATTCCCCACTATAATTTCATTAATGATGATAAAACAAATTTAGGGTTGCCAACATTTATTTTCTGAGGACACTTAAAAACAACTATAATTATCATTTTATAAAAGAAAGAGTACTTTGTGCTTGCTTCGGTAGTGCATATACTAAAAGAAAGGGTATTTTAATATATAATGTTTGGAATAAAAAATGATCCTTTCTAGAGGAAGAGTTAGCAGGCCTACGTGAAAAACAAAACAAAACAAAAAAACCAAAATTGCTTGACTCTCCAGCCATGTAGGTTCCAAAAACACTGGAGAAAGGGCAGGCGAAGCAGCCCCATGTTGCAGCATTTGCCTAGCGTTTGTATTTGCACTAAACACACAGTTTTTTTCATGGCATCATTCCCTACACAGTCCTGCATAGCAAGTATACAATTTTTATTTGCCAATTAAATTAACAAGCTGAAAAATTATAGGCTTAACTGCTACCTGGACCCCACTATGTATTGTAGGTATAAAGCCCAATGTATTAGACATTATAAGTAATACAGAGGTGATTTAAAGTATGTAAGGGGACACGCAGAGCTTATATGTACATAAGACACCACAAGTTCCTTGAGCATGTAAGGGTTTTAGCATGGGGGTGGGGTACCCTGGAACCAAACTTGGGATACTGAGGGTAGATTGGATTCAAATGTTTTAGCTAAGTATTACAAGACAAACATTTTCAAATATTACTTTTTTAAAGAGAAAAATAAATTTCAAAACAAGATAATGGAAGGGTAACTATGATTAATAAGTTGCATATTATCTTTAAACTGCTTACTCAGAGTACAAAACAGGCATTCAATTGTCCAAACAATGTTAGCACAAACCTTTCTTTTCAATGAACTAAATTAGTAGTATAACTATCTTAATTATCTTGTGCATATATATGTATTTTTTTTCTTTTCCCTTTTTTCTCTTTTCCCCCATCTGTTTCTCTTTCCTTTTGAACAGTTTCTTTCCATTTTATAATATCCAGTGTACATTTTGGATCTTATTTACTCTTTCAGCTTCTCACAGTAAGGGGACAATAGGATGTCTACACATGTGTGTCTGGTTTATTTCACTTATGAGTATGGTCTGGAGTTGCATCCATTTACCTATAAACATCTCCAGTTTATCCTTCTTTATGGCTGAGTAGTACTCCATTAAAAAAAAAACAAACCACCACATCTTCTTTATCCATTCCTTGACTGATAGGCATTTGGGTTGTTTCCAAGATTTAGCCATTACAAATTGTGCTGCTATAAACATGGGTGCACATGTACTACTCTGGTATGATGTTTTTAATTCTTCTGGGAAGATACCCAGCTAGGGAATAGCTAGGTCAAAAAGGACTTCCAATCCTAGTCTTTTGAGGAATCTCCACACTAATTTCCACAGTGATTGTACCAGTCTACACTCCTACCAACAGTGGAGAAGAGTTCCTTTTTCCCCACAGCTCCTTCAGCATTTGTTACTGGTTGATTTCTTGGTAATAGCCATTCTTTTATTATTATGTAATTTTTATTTATTTATTTAACTTATTTATTTTTTTGAGACAAAGTCTCACTATGTAGTCCAGGCTGGCCTTGAACTCATAGTAATCCTCCTGCCGCAGCCTCTTGACTGCAGACATGTGCTACCATGCCTGGCTGGAATTGTTTTGATTTTTCAACTTGAGGATCTTTTTTCAACAGGAACATGAAAGACAGAGCTTGTTTTTTTTCTCAATTTTGTGTTCATTATGAACACACAGCTGGGCATAGTGGTGCACACCTGTAATTCCAGCACTCAGGAGGCTGAGGCAGGAGGATCACTGCAAGTTCAAGGCCAGTCTGGGCTACACAGTGAGTTCAAGGACAGCCTGAACTACAAAGCAAGACCCTGTCTCAAAAAAAAAAAAAGCACACTTGCTCCATTAGGAAATTTTGGAGGAAATGGAGAAAAGCCGGGGAAGAAGAGCAGTCATGCTGTTTTCCACCTCGAAGCACACCAGGTCAGTGCTGGGGGTTAATGGCCACTTACGGAGCCTCCAGGGCTCACCAGGGAAGGCTGACATCTGCTGCCTGCAAACAGCAGGGACCCAGCAGGCCTGCGATTCAGGCACTCTGGCAGAGGACAGTTGCAGCTCTACTTTCAAGGGGCTGGCATTTGTGCTGGAGCGGGGCAGGGCTGGGGACAATGTCCTCTGCTCAGGAAGCTCTCTGGGGAGGCAGGGTGTTGGGCTCTAAAGTGACAGCAAGGGGTGGCTGTCACTCTGGGTGCCCTAGCCCAGGAAACTGAAGGCCTGGATTCAGAGCTCAGCTCCACTCCCACACACACTGTTTATTGAACACAAATCACAGGCAAGCCTCTACTCCCACCCTGGATAAATGGTGAAAAGACTGAGGTTTGTTTCGTGGAGCTGACATTCACCCACTAACAGGTTGGAGGATGCATCATGAGCCGTTTATCTGTAAGATGGTGCGAGGGGGGCTGGGGATTTAGCTCAGAGGCACAGTGCCGGCCTGGCAAGGGCGAGGTCATGAGTTCGATTCCCAGTACCGGGGGGCGGGGGCGGGGGAAACAACCAAAAAAAGATGGTGGATGAAGGTCCAGTGAAGTTAGATGAGGTATTACACCCTTAATTGGTCATCCAGACAGCATTCCAGGTGTTGGGGACAAAAGTGATCAAGACAATGTCCTGCCCTCAGAGCCCTTCCCAGGAACAACTAAGTTATGGGTAGGAATGAGATGTGTGCCTGCACAAGTCACGCTGGAGACTGACAGGGTCACCCCGTAAGACACAGAAGTGGTCTGCTGGGGCCTGGACAGCACTGTACTCAGCGCAGTGGCAGCCCTGTGCGTGCCGCCTGGCGGGATTCCCAGTGGGATGAGGTGTGGAGGTGGCAGAAGCAAAGGGGGCCACGTTCTAACCTGGGGAGAGTGTGCGGTGGCCATGCTTCTGCAAATGGCAGGGGCAGAAGCTGGCTTGCTCTGATGGGAGCCCTCATAGAGACCTGTCCTTCCAACTCTACGGACAAGCTAAGTCTGAGGCCAGAGAGGAGACTCTTCCACACTGTCAGGAAGACAAAAGGGGTCAGGGAGGAGTGGAGAGGATGCTATTCCAGAGTGCCCTCTTTGCAGAATGAGCCAAAAGGAAGACAGAATTGGTGAGGCAGTGGAGGGGCCGGGAAGTTGTCCATGTAACAGCCTGTCTGCCTGGAACTGGGCCCTGGAAGGGTCTTCCTGCTTCTCCAGACCAGACCCCTGTTCTTGCTGCTATCCCCTTAACTTGGTCTGTCCCATCACTCCCAGCTAACAGTTCCTGCTGGCCATCCTCCATGGGCCAGCCCCACGAGATGACCGCGTGAGTGCTCAGGTCAACCCAAGTCACTGGCCTGGCCCAGCAGGTAGCAGCACAGTTGGGGCGGGGTGGGGACATGAGATGGGGCAGAGGGGGTGAGGATGTTCCACAGGAAGAATGCACTCAGTGCATCTGGACTGCCTGGAGGCGCTGAAACTTCCTTTTCAGGACCATCTGCTTTCTGAGGGGAAACATCACTTCTCCCCCTTGGTGCATGGAAGGGGAGCAACTGAGACCCAGTGGGCAGCCTGACAGCTGGAAACTGCTCTGAGAAACTTCAGGTCAGCCTGCTGCCCCCAGTACCCAGCAGTGGCCTGCCTTGCCTGCAATGTATTTCCTTTTGGTCCGGGAAGCCAAAAGGAAAGAGATCTGAGTAGACATGGCCAGCTGCATCTCAGATAGACCCACCTGCCTTGATCACCTCCTGAGACAATTCCTTCACTGCAGCTCTAGCTACCTAATCCTGGGACTACTGCAGAGCTGCAGGGACGGCTGGACTGGAGGACTTGTCACCTTGTCATGTCTCACCTACACTTGCTGAAAGCTAGAGCAGGTCTCAGGGGCTTTCTGACCACGCACTCCACTGCTCTTTCCAGGGCCACCAGCTCATTGTGGCTTTCTACAGCAGGCAGTATGGGCCTACAGCAGGTGCTGCACCAGCTGAGGGCCTCCACTGTAAGCAAGGCAGCTGGGCTCTGAATCCAGCCCTCCTGGTTCCCGAGGCAGGAGATGCAGAGCGACAGACACCCTGCTGCCTCACACTTCCCTTCTGCTGTCACTTCAGAGCCCAATATCCCATCTGCCCAGAAAGAGCTCCCTCAGCCAGGCACATCTTCCTCAGTCCTACCCTGATGAAGCAGCAAATGTTGGCCTCTACCACTGTGATGCCACTGTCCTCTGTGCTGGAGTGAAAGTCCTTGTGGGACACCCCTCCCAGATGTGCCAATCAGCTCCACGTCTGGTTATCAGCTTCCGGGTGCCTCCTGGCCTTGAGACTATGGAGCTCACCACACTCTGAACCCAAACCTCTTCACAGCTTCTGTACCGAACTAGAAACTGTTCACTTTGCCCTTGCTGATAACACTGTTTTGCACTTATCTTCTGGCTGCACCATGTGAGTGTGTTTTGTCTTCCTGCCTAGATTAGGAAGTCAAGGCCAAGCACCTGCTGACCAAATAGAGGCAAAGGCAGGCATTTGGGGCTTGCATCGTCTGATTCTCATTAAAACCCTCCCACTTCAAGGCATCAATCCTCCATCTGCCTCAAAAAATTTATCAACAGAGTTGACGCACACACAGGGTATGCTCTCGGTGCTGGAGAGGGAAGGAGGAAGTGGCCTCTAAGACCTCTGTAGGCCACTTCCAGAAAGGTTTCAAATTTGGTTTTTCGGGGACTTCCCCAGAGGGGAGCTGGGGTGGGGAGGCATGTGGCGGCAGGGGTGAAAATGGGTGGCACAGACTCAGGCAGGAAACCAACAGGCTCGGACAGCACAGGGATGTGGACAAAGCCCTTGACGTCCTTCTCGGGTGGCTGTCACTCATCACCTGCAGCCGTCACCGAGACTTTCCTTACTTCCCCAGATCTCCCACTAGCTCTGCCCGCCTGCTGCCCCTCCCCAGGCCAGGCCATTAGTCCTCATCCGCGAGCCCAATACTTTATTGACATATGAGGAATAAACCAGTACAAAATGTATTTGTAAAAAACTACGTTGGAGATAAAAACCCAACCCACACTGCCCCAAAGGCTGTGCATCTGTGCCTTCTCTTTGTGCACATTCAGGGCCGCTGGGCCTCCTGCAGGAGCCTGAGCAGGGGGTCAGCAGCCCTGAGGGCGAAGGTGAGAGTGCGCCGTTGGTAGTGCGTAGGGTCACACTCCAGGTTCTCGATCACCTCGGCCAGCAGGTGGGCTCGCTCCACGCCCGCGCCAGGGGCCTCAAAGCCCAGGGCGGTGAAGTGCACATGCAGGTGGTAGTAGGACGGCAGGTAGTGCAGGTACACTCGGAGGCGGTCTCCCGGCATCTGGTAGCGCTGGAGGATGGCTTCCTAGTGAGAGGGGGAGTGGCAGAAAAGGGCCATCATGCTGCAGGCAAGCCAGTGCCACACCTTCACCTGGGTCACCTTCTGTCTAACCCAGGTCAGCCCAAGACAGTTACAAAACCTTCCCAATGGCTCTCTGCCACTGCTTCAGCTCCCTTGTCTTCCACTCTAGGAAATCAACAAATGTGTGCGAAGCATCAAAGCTGGGACATTTCCCCAAAGGAAGGGGATACGGCCTCTGTCAGGGTTCCTTATCCCAACCTTGATCAAGCACTGGCTTCCTGTGGGAATCTAGTTAGTCCTTCCCAGTGCCTATGGACAGGCCCACATTCCTGAGACTGGGGGGACTGTCCTTCCTCTGGACAACTTATAAGCACTTGGTAAATCGTGAGTTAGGTGGGAGGAAGCCTTGCTTTTTCTTGGAATGAGGCTTGGAGACAATGGGGATGGAGGTGTGCTAGGAACTTGGCAAAGGATAAAGGATCGGGGGAGGGGCGAGGGAAGAGCTGCCTCAGACAGACCTCCGCTGGGCTCCTTAGAAGGAAGGAGGCATTACCTTTGGCCCCGGTTTCCTTTGCCCACCTCCACTCTGCTCAGAAAGAGCTCTTCAGGAGCCCCAGAGGCTTCTCAGCATTAAAAGGAGACCTTGATCTCCCTAACAGTCAGACCCCTAAGGCAGTCTAAAGTCAAACAGAGAAGACTAGGGCTTCAGTGAGCTCAGAATACACCTTGGAATCATACTCGCCTGTTCAGCTCACCCTGGGATCACCGCAGCAGGGTGAGATCAGGGCCAGGGCACATGGAGGGCATCCTGGGATTAGCAGGGCTGGCCTGCAAGTGTGAAGCTACCAAGCAGAGAAGCATGGGCCCAGTGTCCCTAAGAGAAAGACACCATCGCTAGTACCTAGAGGCTACTTCCCCACAGAGGTTGTTTCAAAGAGACAAAGGCAGCCAGAGGGTAATGTTAGCAGGCTGGGGCCAGGGGGAGACAGGTCAGGGGACAGTGTTGGGGAAAAGGCCAGAAAGGGGCCAAGCTCTCTGATTGGTCATCCTTGTGCCTCAGTCCTATCCTGACAGCACAAGTGTGTAGTGCATCTTCGTGCTTCAGACTAGACATGGTGGATTCCGAAGAGATCTCAATCAGACACTGACATCCACACAGGTGAACTGACCTGCCCTAGGCCTGTTAGGGCAAAAGCATCAGGCCAGGACCACAATCCAAGATTCTAATCACTCTTCTCCCATCTCCCTCCCCCTATTCCCAGGGCTCTTTTTGGTCCCCTTCTAATTGCATTTCATTCAACAGATGTCTCAGATAAGGGGTTATCCCCAAAAGCCAGGTGCTACAGAATTTGGCCCGGGCTCCATCTAGACAAGGAGGCACATGTGTACATCCAAGTCAGGTGTCCACAATGCAAGAAACTCATCCTGCACTAGGTGGTTGTCAAGAGCAAGGTAGGTGATCCTCAGGGGTAGAGCTGCAGGGATAGGAGAAGCCAGAACTTGATGACATGCGTCTGCAGCAGTGATGGCGAACCTTTCAGAGCTTTCAATAAAACAAACAGCCTGCTGCAGCACATGTGCCATAGGTTTGCCACCGCTTGCCTACAGGGTGGCGGGAATCTCAGATGAGACCTATAGGGGAAGGCAGGGAGCCAGGAAAGATGGCTGAAAATGGAGCTGTAGGATTTAGGAGGACCAGGGGACATAGGGCCTTGTGCATCAACCTACTGAGCCTTAACAAGGTTCAAAGCTGGCATCCTGAGAACAGCTGTTCCCAGGACAGACTTTGGGAAGGGTAAGGAACAAAGTGGAATTTGAGTATAACCTCTGGACTTTGATGTGGTTTGAGAAGTGACTCACCTGCCCTTCCCGGAGGATGTTCCTGAGCAGCGGCAGGTGTTCTGGAGTAAGGTCCCGAAGTGATCTGATTCCCCGGCGATGGCAGATGGCGATCAAGTACAGGTCATCAAGCTGCACGGAGTCAGAGGAGAAAAGAGGATAATGCCAGGCTCCAAGGGGGCAGCACTATAGAGGCTGCTGGCTCTGGAACTGCCTACCCTCAAGGCCTGCAGCACCTCCACAGCCAAGCCAGGAGACCCTAGTGTGGGACAGATCCCCACACACTGGAGGTGTCCCAGGGCCGAGACTGGTTGGGACCGTCTAAAAACAGGGCTTCTGTGTACTGTTCTGCTAAAGAACTTTATGAGAGACAATCCGTATGTTCTACAGAACCAACCAAGCAATGGAGGGGTCAAGAAAGAGCCAGGTGTCTTCCTGCAAGAGTTGATAATTTAATTCACACACATAAGTCACTCTATTCACATAAAGTGCCTCAGATTATTATTATTTCGTGCATGGGATGGAGCTCAGAGCTGGGACCTTGTGCATATGCTCTACCACTAAGCTGTACCCCCACACCTAAAGTGATCAATGCACAGGAGGGAGCACAGGCTCTAGCTAGCTGGGGGGATCCAGGCAGGCCCCCTAGAAGCAAAGTTGGGGGCTCGATCTTGAGAGGCAGGGTTTAGAGGACATTCAGGGAGGGAACAGCAAGAGTGAAGGCGGAAGCAGAGCTGGCAGGGGGTGGCTCCCTCTGTCCGGAGTCTGAAGCTTGTGCAGGTGGATGTGAGGAGGGAAGGGAGGTCTGAGGCCTGTTCAACACCAAGCACCAGCACAGCGGTGGGCAGCCTTTCCTGCCAGCCTTCCTGAAAACAGTTGCCTGGCTAAAAACCTGGAGGTCACAATAGAGCAAAGAACCAGTCAACAAGATCTTGTGCCAGAGAACAAATAAACTCTTCCTCTTGCTGGACACTCCTCCCCCAGCCTCCCTGCTCACCCCAACCTTGGCTTTGCTTCATTATCACACTCTGTGCCAACCAAGCCAAGGTTCCAGGGCTCTACGCTCAGACAGCGAGGGTGGCCCGGCCCTGCAGCTTGACTTGCTGGATGCCTTATGAGGTATCTGGGGACCATGAGTCACCCAACCAAATCTCCAGAGGCCCAACCTAAAAACTGAGAGTGAAGTCTTCCAGATGCCCACATGTGTCATGGTGTCTTTGTGCCACTGATATTCTTCCCTGTCAGAGCTTTAGGAATCTGCACTCACTGGCCAGACTTGCTGTAGGCAAGCTCATCAGAAGCTCCCAGCATGTGAGTGAGGTGCACCCATCACGGCTTCAGTTTTTCTGTTGTTGTTGTTTTTTGGATTTTGTCTTTTTGAGACATGGTCTTGCTATATAGTTCAGGCTGGCCTTGAACTCATTTTGTAGCTCAGGCTGGCCTCAAACTTGCAGCGATCCTCCTGCCTCAGCCTCCCAAATGCTGGGATTACAGGTGTGCACCATCACACCTGGTTCCATGGCCTCAGTTTTGCCCACATGTCCCTTCTGGACATTCCTTTCCCAACCTGTGCCTGGGAAATTCACTCTCACTGGTGAGAAGTCCATGGAGAAACCAGAAAGGAAGGGTACTTGATGAGTGTCTATAAATGTACTAGTGTCACTCTCACGAGATACCCAAATAGTAGCAGCACTTGTTTCAGACGATGCCTGCAGATAAATCCCAAACGTGACATTAAATCCCATCTCTCTGCTTCACTGGCACGGAACGAGGCTTGCAGCCCGGTGCTGGGTGTCAGCTCACAGGCTGGGAGAGGGAGGGAAAAGAAACCATTCTTTCCTATCAGACGTGGCCCAAGTTTTTCTGTGGGCAGCCAAAACTCCTTCCAGCCACAGGAATGATCTGAGAAAAGCTGGATAAGGAACAGACGCGGGCCTGAGACCGGCAGCCCAGAAGGTAGCCCACTGAGCACCCTGGGAAATGGGCACCATCAGTCTCTTACACAGCAGGGCAGGAAAATCAGTGTAAGAGTCTGATACCAAAGGGTAAGGCAGAACAGCTGGAGCACTGGAAAACCACTTCTTGACCTCTGGAGTAACTCAAAGGAAGGGTGCCCTGTCCGAGAACGTTAAACTAAAGAACTTAAACTGTATGAACTGAGACGTAGTATGTCTACATGTACATGTGCATATGTGTTTATATACATCAAATGCAAAGATTACTCCTGGAAGGAGAGACAAAGAAATAGCATTGCTTCTGGTGAAAGGAAGTGGAGAAATGGGGCTAGGAGGGAACTTACTTTCCCTACACATCCACTGTGTATGCATTTTTACCATGGGCACATATTAACAAACCCAAGTAGCAGAAATGAACATGTGGGTGATCTCTTCAGAGAACTGAGGAAGGGATGTCATAAGCTCTGGGGAGACATGATCTCTAGCAACATCAGGTACTTGATACAGATTTGCTGAATGGATGGGAAGGAGAACGAACGGATAAACAGAAGGCCATCAGTCTGGAATAAAAATATACTTCTAGGCCTGGCATGATGGCACATGCCTATAACCCCAGCACTCAGGAGGCAAAAGCAATGCTATGAGTTTGAGGCCAGCCTAGGCTACATAGTGAGTTCAAGGCCAGCCTGAGCTACATAGTGAGCCCCTGTCTCAAAAAACAAAGAAAAAATTATTATCTGTTTATTTATTTCCAGAGGCTGGGGTTTTAGTTCAGTGGTACAGCATAAACTTATCATGTATGAAGACTTGGGTTCTATCACCAGCACAGCAAAAGACAGAAAAGAAGACAGGAAAAGAAAGCAAGATTAACTTTGGAGAGATGTGGGAGGAGACTTAGGGTGCCCGGAAGACTCCTCACAGCAAGCACTGGAGCACCCACTCCCTAACCTTCCCTGGCCCTAGAACAAGGAACAGAAGCCAAGATATGGCCTGGCTTCCTGCTGTTTACACTGCCAACTTCTAAGGGGACAAATCAAGTTCAATACTGTCACAAGTCAACGATCTGAGACACTGAAATGCAGCACCATTAAAAGTCAAGCAAGAATGAAGCAAAGACCTATAAGGCACAGTCTGACAATTTAGGCCAGCCCTTTCCAAACCCTGAGGATTGCGGGCTCAGCACAGCTGCTAAAGGCTTTCCTCTCTTTTCTTTTCTTGGTTTTCTGAGATAGGATCTTGCTATGTAGCCCAGGCTGGCCAGGAACTCACTGCGACCCCCCTGCCTCAGCCCCTGTGAGTGCTGGGATTACAGGCATGCGCCACCATGCCCAGCTGAACTCAGTCTTCTTGCTTCAGCTTCCCAAGTGCTGTGAGTAAGGCACGCACCACCACGTCCAGCTGTCTTTCCTGTCTTAAAGAGGATATGGAGTGGGGAGCCCCACTGGCAGGCAAGACAGATATCTGCCAGTCCTGAATCTCAAAGACCTTCATTGGCAGGACCACTGGTTCAAATCCATTCAGTGCTTCTGGAATGGAGATGTAGGACTCCCATCTTTATTAGCTCCCTGGCCCTTGAGCTGTATGCTCTGCAGTTACAAACTCTTCAGTCTCTTTTTTTTCTGTACTGAGAAATGAACTCAGGACCTTGCACTTGCCAGGCAGGCACTGTGCCACTGAGCTATATCCCTGGCCCACACTCTTCAAGTCTTCAGGAGTCTGGTGAAGCAGATGTTCCTTCTACCCGAGGCTCATCTCACCCCAGCACTCAGAAGGCTACAGTCCTGAATGAGTCCTTGAAAGGTTAGCGTCAACTACATTGGACAGTCTGCAAAAAACCAAAAAAAACAAAACAAAGATCTGCCTGAAACTGATGGGTTACACTTAGCTACTAAGAGGTCAAGATTCCACTTACAACTCTAGGACCCCTTCCAGGTCCATCACCTCTAGAGCCAGACCCATTCCGTCTCAGAAGGTGGCCCAGGCAGGGACAAGCTGCAGGGGATGGGGACAGGCACTTGGAGGCCAGGAAACAGGGAGCTGAGAGGCTAGAGTGGAGGTCTGGACTATTGGAAACCTAGTCCGCAGCTCAGGCTGGGTAGGGACTCCTCTGGCTGGTCGCCATGGCTCCTGCCCGCCAGCACTTTAGAAACAGGCCTGCCAGGTCTCGTGGTGTCAAGGGGGATGGAGAGAATGCAAACACTCTCTCTTGGGGCTCCCAGTGCTGCTGGAAGCAAAGCTGGCAGCCCAAGTCACCAGGCTGGTTATGGAATGGCCCATGAAGCCCCTGGGCGGGGGAGTTACCCAGAACAAGAAAGGGCTTTCTGCTGACCCATGAAAGTCAAAGCATTTGTGTATGACAGGTATACAGTCTGTCACCATGGAGAGCTAGGCCACCCCGTGCTGCTGGGTAATTATACTCTGTTCAGAGGCCAGTGTGAGAAAGTAGGACAGTCAGAGAAGGCCAGCAACCTGGAGTGGGTTAGGCAGAGACCAAAGCACTCCGGGGCGCAATCTTTACCTGCTGTTGGTTCCACTTGAGGTCAGGGATGAGGACAAAGCCATCAGAAGGATCTGGGTTCTCATAAACAATCCGGTCAGCTTCAGCCTTCTTGTCAAGAATGTTATACACCCACTGGAAAGGAGAGAGATGGTTCACAAAGTGGGCCAGGTAAGCTCACTATTCTTTCTACCTGGCGTACAAGACTGTGTAGCTCTCGGATCCAGTCAGGCAGGCTTTCCCCAAGTATCTGCTCATGGGTCTAGGAGAAATTCTCCTTCTCCCACCACAAGCGGCTGTTAGCCATCTCAGTCGTCCCAGGGTTCTCTGCAGCTCAGCCTAGGTTGGCCCTGTAAGCTCTTCCCGGTGAGCTGTGTATGCACAGGTTATCTGCCCTGACTCCACACAGCAGTGATCCTGCACCACCCACTGGACTTGGGAAGACAATCCTCGGAGGACACTTTCCCATCCCATGTGGATCACAAGGGTGTTGCTCTACAGAGAGTCAGAGAGGTCTTTCTGAGAAGCCTCTCTGCACAGAGGTAGGGCCTGCAGAGTCTAATCCTGGGCACCCTTGGCTCTCCCCTTGCTCTATGAGTCCCACTGCAGTGTGAAAACCCTATGTCTAAAAAAGACGCCTGCTGGAAACCCAGACAGAAGGCCGGCTGGGGCCACACTGCTGCCTCCTCCTCCTAGTCAGAAGGACCTCCAAACACACTGATGGAGGAGGGGAGCCCACGACAGGGAGACCAGAAACCAACAGAACCAGACCACCATGGTCTTCTTCCTGCTCTAAGACCCGCTAGTGTACACGCAGAGTCCTGAGGCAGGGGCAGGGTGTTGGCCCAGGGTGTGTCCACTTCCTAGCCTGAGCCTGGTGGGGAGGGAGCAGAAGACATTTGCCTGGGGATATCTGGGCCTCTCCATGCCCTGCAATTACTCTCAGTGGGTCTCCAGACCCGTGAACAGACCCATAAGCCAGGCACAATGCAGCCACTCTCCACGGAAGAGATGCCTTCCCAGGGTGAGTGTTCCTGGGAGGGGTCTGGAGGACAGCTGGTGTCCACGGCCTGAGTCACACAGAACCCGTGAACTGTGACTCTTCCAAGGACATTTCCTCTCCCACCCAAGACCTCTCTGGGAAAGCGGGGCAGCAGCAAAAAACAAAGCAGTTGGAGGCTGACCTAAAGTCTCCCACGAACAGAGGGGAAGGAGGGTGTGCGACTCCTCAGTGGGGACAGTCCGGGCATTCCCCCAGCAGGCTCCCCGCCACCCCTTCCCCAGACTGGCGCCAACTCCCACTGAAAAGCAGCAGGCCGTCAACAGGGAGACCGGGCTCTGGAGCCCCATGACATTTAGTTTCTTCTCCCACTTCCTCCACAGACTTGCTGCCACCCCGGGCAAGCAACTAAATCCTGCTTCACAAAATGGGGCTAATTAGAAATTAAGATCTACATTTGAGGCTTATGGTGAGGACTTTAACAGATACACACATGAAAGCACTTAGCCCAGAGCCCAGTACAGAGAAGGCACGCTACAAGCAGCAAGAGTGCTTGGATACTCCACTGAGCGGTGAGGTGCTGAGCCGCCGTGGCGGTGTACACTGAGAACCCAGCACTCTGGGAGGCTGAGGCTGAGGCAGAAGGACAGCAAGGTCAAGTCCAACCTGGGCAATGTAGGGAGACCCTGTCTCAAAATAAAAACAGAGAAGGGCTGGATCGTTCTCAAATGGGAAACAAATCAAGAGATGGGCGGGGGGAGAAAGGGGAAAAGGGATAAAACAGATAAAAGGAGTAAAGATGTGTCAAGTACACGTAGCAACTCCACGTGAGAAATGTGAGCATTACGTATGGCAAACATGGGCTACAAATGAGTAACAAATTAAAGAAAGGAAAGGGATGGGGAGGTGGCTCAGTGTGGGTTCAACCCCATACTGAAGGACCAACTACCGCAGGAAGAGAAAGCAGGCGAGAGCCGAGGTGGCGGCTGGGGAAGTAAGCGTGAGGATGGGGCCTATTGTGGTTTAGATCTAAAATGCCCTCCACCAAATTCTCCCGCTATGAGGCGGGGCTTGGTCAGAAGCGGGGGTCACTGGGGCGTGGCCAGGAAGGGTGAATTCAGGTCCTGCTTCTCCCTTCCCTCTGCTTTCTGGCTGCCATGGCTTAAGCACCTTTCCTCCACCACACCCCTCCGCCAGGCTGCTTCTGCTGAAACCCGGAGCAAAAACAAATCTCTCCTCCTTTTCAGTTTCAGGCAGCCGTTATAGTGCCCAGTGGTGGGAGAGTAACTGAGACAGTGGCCAAGCGATGGCCACACAGGGGTGAGGACAGCAACAAACCTACTCCCCAGTTTTTTTAAATTTTAATTTTTTGAGACAGGGTCTTGCTATTATAATTCAGGCCAGCCTTAAAACTCACTACGTGGCCAGGCTGGCCTCAAACATGCAGCCATCCTTCTGCCTCAGCCTCCAGAGTACTGGGATCACCCACCAGGCTATTTCCCCATTTTGCTGGTAAGGAAAACGCAGGTGCAAAGAAAGGCACACAGGTTCACATAATCCCAACCTTGAGCCTGTGCTCCTGAGCCTGTGCTCTGGGCCCCTAGCATGGGCCCTGGGTGACTGGCAGGAACCTGCACCTACAGGAAGGCTCATGGTTAGAAGCTCAGAAAAGGAGGGGAAGAAGGGAACGAATCCACACAAACCACACCGACCTAGGTAACAGGAGTGTCACTACCTGAAAGCCAGCTCTGGGGACTCCAGCAGCTCTCCTGATGATGGGGCCATGTGACAGTTTTTAGGACACATCTGGCTGCAGGCTGTAGTAGGACGAGGCACTGACAGTGCCCTCAAAGCCCTCTTTCCTCCTGGACCCCCCTTGGTAGTCTCAACCCTTCTCCATCCTCCGCCCACCCCTACTCTGCTCGCCCGCCCTGCCCCTCTCCTCCAGCCAGGCCTCAGCTGTCCACACCTCCCAGGGGTCTTCGCTCAGTGCCCTATCTGTTCCTCTGGTCTACCTGGGTTTGCATAATTGCAGTTTTGGGTCGGGGATATAGCTCAGCAGTGTAGTGCCTGCCTGGCAAGCACGAGGTCCTGAGTTCAATTCCCAGTACACACATTAAAAAAAAAAACTAAAGCCAAACAAAACACACACACACACACACACACACACACACACACAGAGGCATGCATGGCAGTTCCGTTTTGGAGCCTGTTCTGCGCCGGAAACAACTGCAGGCACATGATAAATGGTGCCTCTCAGTATCATCTATCATATTTTCCAGTCAAGGAACCTAGGACTCTGAAGTCAGAGAAAATGCCACACTGCTCTTGCAGAATGAGAATCCAAACACTGGGCTCCCGCTAAAGCCTGGTGTGACAGCTCACAAATACAGACTTTTAGAAACACATCTCTGAAGACATCCAACTGCACCTGGGGGTGGGAGACTGAACCCAGGGTCCTGAGCATACCAGGCAAGCACTCTACCACTGAGCTATGCCCCAAGCTCTTTTTCTTTTCTTTATGAGATTGGGTCTCATTACGTAGTTCAGGCCTACGCTGGCTTCAGGCTCAGCCTCCCGAGTGCTAGGATTATGGACATGAGCCACACCCCCAGCCCCAAGCTCTTTTATTAATTTTATCTTGGGATGATGTCTCATTAAGTTGCCCAGTCTAGCCTCAAAGTTGTGATCCTCCTGCCTCAGCCTCCAGAGCAGCTGGGATTACAGGTGTCTGCCACTGCACCCAATTCCACTGCATTTTTTATCAGAAGTTACAAGTACCTCAAATCTGAGGAGCCAGAGAGCATCACAGGCTAACAATGTAGATACTGGGCCCTGGGAGGGCTACGAGTCTCAATCTCCAAGAGAGCTGCTGTGAAGATTAAATGAGGTGATGCAAGTAAAATGCCTAGAACAGGCCCTGGCACCTGGTGTGCTCAATAAACCCCAAGCTGGATTTGCGGCCTTCCCACAAACCCACTCCACTGTCCATGCCCCCATCCCGGTCAATCTGGCCCAGTGTCACCCTGCATTCTTCCCTCCTTCTCTGGATCAGCCAGTTTCGAAGGCCTTCCAGCCCATTACAGCTCACACCCTTGCTGCTACTGAATCCTTCCCAGCTGTTGCCACCTCGGTTCAGATCCATGCTGGTTTGCAGCCCTCCCACCCCAGGTGATTCTACAAATCCCACATTACCCAAGTGCTTACAATCACCTAGGGGAACATCACCGCCTATGGTAATCACTCTCAGGTCTGTTGATTGTTCAAAACCTAAATGTACATAGTGCTCCACTATGAAGGGCCAGACTGGAAAGACAGGGGAAGGAACTTCCTGTTTTTATTTTGAATTCTCCTCCAGGCCACCCTGATGATTAGCAGGGCTTGGGAGCTCCTGACCTCGTGCACAGCATCCTGGCCCCTGCCTGCCCTCACAGGGCTGTCTCCTCCGGTCTTCCTGCATCCTCATCCTGTGCCCTCGTCACACCGAACTCCACGCAGCTCCCTGAAAGCATGTAATGGTTCCTGCTCCCTACGCCTCTGGACTTGCTCCACTGGGAGGACATCAGCAAGGTTTCACTACTTAGGTGTAGCATGCCCAGAAACACAGCAGATGTCCAGTGTAAATACAGTGATTTGCTAAACTATGTGCTTATATACTTGCTACAAATATCCAAGAAGGAACATATGAATGCTGCTCATGTTAACCAGGAGCTGAAGCAGCAGTGGAGTTTTTGTGATATTATTTCCAAATGCAACTGTGTAATGGTGCACAGTAACATGGACACAGTATATGCCGGGCATGACGTCGTATGTCTATAACCTCAGCACTCAGGAGGCTGAGGCAGGAGAATCGAGGCAAGTTCAAAGCCAGCCTGGGGCACACAGTGAGACCATCTCCAATATGTTAGTGCCTCCTCTCGTAAATCCCACACATGTGCAACCAGGACCACAGAATGTAAGTCCCTGGCAAATCTGTTTAGGACCATGAACAGAGCTGTTGAAGAATACGGAGACAAACTTCCTTTCCACTCAGAAGACAGAACAGGTACTGGGGCTTAAAAAAAGGAGGGAAAAAAGAGATCAAGGCGGCTGCGGCCTGAGAAACCTTAAGCAAATGCTGCACAGGGAGGCAGAGGTGAACAAGCAGGCTGAGTCCTACCCTTGGGAACAGGCTGTCAGCACACAGGCCCAGAACGGCCTTCCCATGGGCCTGCGAGCCTCCCTCCCCTCCTCCTCCCTGGCACAGCTGGCCCTGCAGCGCCCTCACAGCAGCACCCTCGCTTCTCCTGGGTCAGAAAGGACAGGCGGTGTGGGTTTTCCATCACCAGAGCACTCCCCTCTGCAGGAACCTGATCTCGGGGAGAGGAGGGAGAAGCGCCCAAAGGGAACGGGAGCAAGCAGCGGTAATGAGAGGAGCCAGGGAGAGCCAGAGAGTGGGCAAGGAAGTGACTCATCAATATGCATCCGTCATACTTAACTGTAAGTGTACACATGGGGCCAATTCCAGGCACAGGCTCAAGCTGGCACTGGGCCTAGGCCCAAGGAGGCATCAGGATCTCGGCTGAACAGCCCTGCATCCACCTCAGCCGTGACTCTCCACCACCCTGCCCGCCAAACAAGGGGTGCTACAGCTATGGATGAATGCACCGCACAGCCTGTGGCACTGGAGTTTCCTACTATGAGACTCAGCTCCTGCAAGCTGTTTTGCTGCAGGCAAGTCCAGGGATAAGAGACTAGACCGGCTGGGTGCGGTATATGTCTGTAATCCCAGCACTCAGGAGGCTGAGGCAGGAGGATCACCATGAGTTCGAGGCCAGCTTGCAATACATAGTGAGACTGTCTCAAAAAAAAAAAAAAAAAAAAATTAAAAAAAGAGGCTGGACCAAGGTGAACCTAACACAGCACTGGTCTTTTATCTGTTCACTGGCCTTTGGCAATGGCACAGTCATTCCAAGACCGTTAGGGCTATTACAGGAATACAACCATACCTGGAAATCTTATTTTTCCAAGGCCAGTGATACAGTCTCAGAGCAGACTGAAACTCTTTCCGAAGATTGGACCTCTCGGAGATCCCCTAAGAGCTTCAGTGGGCCCCAAAAAACTTCATGAAGAGCCCAAGATCAGGGTCAATTCCTTTCTCCAAGAAGCCTGCCCTGACCGTCTCATATAAAATCTCAACCAGCCCTTCCTGGGACTCTGCCCTGCAGACACTGTCCACTTTTCTTCATTGCACTCATACTCTCACATGTCACAAGGACTGTCCACATACGGTGTCAGCTCCATGGGGCATGGACGTGGCTTACTGAGTTCTCTGCTATCCTCAAAGTGCCTGGCTGCTGGGAAGACCCCAAAAGACGCTCTGTAGGAAGAGAAACCAGCCAGGAATGACATCCCACAGATGAGACTCGCGCCAGTCACCTGGATGCTGAGGCTCTGGGACTCCAGGTGGGGTAAGGTAACATTCCTGTAGTCCTCTCCTGTCTCTCGGATCAGGCGGAGGTCCTGGTGCAGGTACTTCTGCAGGTGTTTCTCCGTGGCGGGGTACACCACCGTTGTCTTTACCTCTGCAACAACACAGCACAGCCTGTAACTGGAAAGAAGAACCCACCAAAGTCGGCTCACCCACATTCCAAACCTGAGAACACAAGGTTTACACAGGTGGGTCCTTGGTCCTCAGCCCCCTCCCCCCACCCTCTTCTAGGTAAGGACCAAAGGTCTCTAACTCTTCTCACATGCAAATTTCTAGCTAGCTGGCTCTGGCCTCAAAGCCTGGGAGCCTCCCTTAAGGAGGAGCAGTGCAGTAGGCCACAGTGTACGCTCTGGAGCCAGACAGTCTGAGTTCAAGTCCTGACTCTGCCTGTTCATTACTCATCCCAAGTGGGACCTTGGCCCCAGTTGGGAATTTGGTCCAGTTATTTAACCTCTGTGTGCCCCGACTCACTCGTCTGCCAAATGAGGATAGTAACAGCTCTGATGTCATAATATTAGGAAGATAAAGGGCGTTAATTACCTGTGCAGCACTTAGAACAATGCCTGGCACACAGTAACACTACCTGAGTGCTGGCTGAATAACCCAGGTTTCTCAACCTTGGCTCCAGGTCTTGCCAGATGACTGTGCTCTGGGGACATCCTGCGCACTGCAGTGGGACTACTTTAGCACTGTTCCTAGGCTTCACTTGGCTGTGAGTAACACCTCTCTGCAGTTGTGACAGCTGAAAAGTCTCTAGACATTACCAAACGTCCCCTGGGGAACACAACTGCCCCAGTAGAGAAAAGACATTTTAATCAGAAGGAAACCTGTAGTTTTCCTGAACCGATTCTAGGCTAGTTCTCTGGTTCAACACCATCTGCTTGTGGTTAAGTTCTTTCCCCTATTTTTAATAACATCTAGTACGACCACTGTCATTACTCTAACATATATATAGAGAAAGAGCTTCAACACAGGACAGGGCAGGAAAATGGCAAAAAGCTGTTTCAAAATCAGTTGACATGTTTGCCAAAAGACTCACGTACCCCCTTCTGAATTCTTTTTCTGGGTTCAGACCTGCTGTTCCAAGGAATTCTACTCACTGCCACTCTCTAGACCCAGCTAAGAGCTACCAGCCTACACTTTCACAACTGGTCTGAGGGCGCACATGACTTTAATCTACCTCCCTTGGTGAGCAAGAAGAGTGGCTGGGATGTAACCCTCATCCAGGACCACGTGGAGCCAGGGCAAAGGCGAGACTAGAACCAAGGCCAAGCTACTCTGAAGTCCTTTGACACAGAGGGCTGCTTAACGGCCCACTCTTCTTCCAAAGCCCAGCAGGGTTGGACAAAGGTGACATTCCCAGCCCATGATTTCTGGCGAGCGTCCAATGTCCTGGCCCATCGGCTCTGAGGCCAAGCAGCAGCCTTGGAGCTGTTGTGAGGCTGTGGATGGAACAGCCATGTGACACCCTCACCGCCAAGTGGCCCTGGGTGTGTGACCTTTTAGTGTCAGTGTCCTCACTTGTTAAAGGGAGGACACCGAAGCTGCCTCACACAGCTTTGTTAGTGTTAAATAAAACACGCTACCTGGATCACAAGGGACACCAAATAAATGTCACCCCTCTTCCTGGGAATCCCAGGGCCTTGTCATACTCTGGGCAGCCACAAAAAACTGTTTCTCACTTCTTTTTTTTTGGGGGGGGGGGTGGTTTTTCTCCAGTACCGGGAACCAAACTCACGACCTTGCGCATGCCAGGCAGGCGCTTTTGCCGCTGAGCTAAATCCCCAGCCCTGTTTCTCACTTCTTATTCTTCACTGTTCTCTACTGCTCCAAGGTCCCCTGGTTAGAAGTCAAGCACACTGAATTTCAAGAGGCAGGAGACTGCCTAACATGGACTGAATGGTACCTGCCTTGCCACAGACCGGAGGAAAATCCCAAGGTATCCGCAGCTTAACCTGGTGGATGAGAACGGGAGCTTTGAAGCTAATCAGCCTGGGTACCAAACCTTGCTCTGCACTCACTAGCTGTGTAACCACAGGCAAGCGGCCAGCCCTCCCTGTTGCTTCATTCCCCTCATCTGTGTAACCCCGGGGTAACAGTAACAGTATCTGTCTTACAGGGCTGGTATGAGAACTGAATGAGTTAGTGGGCGGAAACCATTTATTTAAAAAGTGCCTCACACACAGAAAAGTGCTCCATAAACACTCATTGTTTTTGTTGTGCCTTTGCCTGCCTCTGTTGGGTGGGGGAGACACAAGCCAGGCAGTGGAACTCCCTGGAACAGGGCAGAGGTAGCTAGGAACAAAGGTGGAGTTGATGCTGAAGAACCAGCACCCTGGGCTCACAGCCTGGGGCTCCCTGGCTGACCCAGCAGCCTGCGAGCAAGCCCTGGTCTGCTCAGGCTTGTGAAGGACCTGCCCAGCCACCCATGCTGTGGGAAAAAAGGCATCTCACCAAACCCGCCCTCTTGCCCTCATCCAAGGCAGTGAGACAAGCCAGAGACTGTGATTTCTCAGCAGCTCACCTCCTGCTGGCTTCCTTTCCTAAGATGCTCTGCTGGTGCCCAGCTGGTGGGTTCCCTCAGATGGCACTGCCCAGAGCCCCTCACTCCTCAGCAGCCCAGCTTCCCTCAGACCCCATGGGAAGCCCTGCATGCTGTCATCAGGGCTTGGGGCTCCCCTCCACAGTCTACAGGGCCCGGAGACTTCATCCACCTCTCTCCTCTCTGCTGCCTGATGCCTCTGTTTCAGCCACACCAATCCCCACCGTCCTACACCAGGCATCAGGCACACTCCCCACGCTGCGCCCTGCTTGGGCTGCCAGGCAAACCCTCTGCTAGGAAAAATGCTTGTCACTCTCCCGCCATACTCGGGCTCAGGGCAACTCCAAGGCTCAGACAGCCCTGCTAAAGCAGCCCTCTGTCCCTGTCACCACCCTGCTGTGCCGTCCCCAGTGCTACCTGGCAATGCAGCCCAGGCTCACTGTCTGGCTCCCCCAGGAAAGGTTAACTTCCAGGAAGAGGGGATTTGGTTGGTTTGTTTCTTTTTATCACCTACCCCTGGCACCTGTCATTTGGTAAACATTCGACAAATACCCACTGGACAAACGAATAAACGAATCTGGCCTTTTTGTGGACTTTAAACCCAGGAAGAGCCTCTACGCTCCAAATGGAATAAAACTTCTTTGATAGAAATCAATGTATTGCCCAATGCTGTTTCTCAGCGGCAGCCTCAGAACAAACTGGTGTTCAACTAGTTCAGGGTTCTGACCTGCAGCTCAGCTTCGGGAGGAGTTTGGTCAAGAGTCAGTGCTTGATAATTACACAAGCCATCGATTAAAAATATGCTGGGGAATGGGTTCTACACACACAGTGTCCAAAACTCTCCCCACTGACTACTTATTAATTACACAGGGAGAACATCATCTCCCTGGACGAAGGGAGTTACCATCTCCCCGAATACACAGCTTGAATCTAATCAAAAGAAATATCAGAAAACCAAAATTCGGGGCATTCTGTAAAACGTGGCTTTGTAACTCCAAAAATGTCCAAGTCAGTCGCCTGTGGGGACAAATGCCAGCCGTCCCTTACTTGTGAGGTTAAGGCACAGAAATACTTGAGCCCATGAGTTTAAGGCTGGCCTGGCAAGACAATGAAACCCTATCTCAAAAACAACAAAGTTAAGGAAAGACAAAGAAAAGGCAAAAGATTGTGCCAAACTACAAGAGACTCAGTAGATGTGACTAAAAGGATTAGGCTAGATCCTGGTTGGGAAAGAGGTGTCCTGCTTTAAAGACAGTGTTGAAACAACTGGTGAAATTTAATAATGGACTCTCTACACTATATGCTACTGTTCTGTAAATGTTAACATTTCTGAGACTGACAATTTCCTGAAACCATGTTTGCCTCTTTTTATATCCATAATAATATCTGTAAGTGAAGACAAAAAAGCAAATGTGGCACAATGTTAACAATAGATAAAAGGATTTTTATTTGGGAGTGGGTACTGGGAATCGAACTCAGGACCTCGAGCTTGCCAGGCAGGCACCATGCTGCTGAGCTATGGTTGATACCCCCGGCTGATAAATGGATTTTTTTTTTCTTTGTCTTTTTGAGACAGGGTCTCGCCATGTAGCTCACTTTGTAGCCCAGGCTGGTTTTCAGTTTGCAACAATCCTCCTGCCTCAGTCTCCCGAGTGCTAGGATTACAGGCGTGCACCACCACAACTGGCTCTGAAAGGATTTTATAGGGAAATTCTTTATACTACTCTCATGACTTTTCTATAGCATTAAAATTTTTTTTTCAGCCAAATGTGGTGGCACTTGCCTGTAATCCCAATACTCAGGAGGCTAAGGCAGGAGTATTGCTGCAAGTCTGAAGTCAGCCTGGGCTACACAGTGAGTTCAAGGGCAGCCTAACCTACATACTGAGACCCTGTCTCCAAAAACAGACAAACAAACCAAAATTAAAAAAATTTTTTTTCCAAAATAAAAGGTAAAACAAAGTTGATACCCTTTGGGACTTTAGTGCAAGTTGCTGACAGACTTACCACCAGGCACTGCTGTAAGCCAATACGTAAACTAATTTATTCTCACAATCCAAGTGACTAGATCCACTATACATGGATCCACTATACATGGGAAGAAACTGGGGCATGGGGCCTGCAGTGGCTGTTAAATACCCACGGGCATCAGAGTCACCCGTCTCAGCCCACGCAGGTCAGCAGATGAGGTCGGCACACGGGTGGAACCGACCTGGCTGGGTTCTCTCTGCAGAGGGCTGTTTACAGATTGACAGGAGGGAGCCATCTGCTCCGTGTGGGCCACACTGGGCGGCAACTCTGCCCAAAACCTTCCCGTGTGGCTTGAGAAGCAACAAGGAGCTCCCCAGCCGCACTCTCCCGCGAGCAGCCTTTAAAAACAGCTCAGGGCACTCGAACTCTTCAAAATCACCCCTTGAAAATGTTCACACTGCGTTAGGAGAAATTCCCTGACACGCCTTACAAAGCCCTCCTACTGCTACGCTTTCTGCATTTTTGTTCATTTTTGTTCGTATTTTTATCTCAAGCTGTATTTGCAGAGGTTAGGGAGTCAGATGAAGTTTGCTTTATTCAAAAAGTTTTCCGCTCATCTTTGCTCCCAATCTCCAGCTCCTCAAAGGCTCTGCTTTCAACTCTTCCAGGCCAGGCCATTTCTTTCTGCCGTGCTGGGGTCATCATAGTTCTCCGCTCTATTTTTATATCTTGTTCCCCTGGACTTTTCAGTTTTACTATTACTTCCTGGTCACCCACCAGAGAAGATGAAAGTCTTATCAGTCCTCTATCAAAGGCTCACGCACACACTGGCTAACATGGCTAACATCCCACACACAGGCTCTTCCTATGCGCATGCTCACTCCGAATCCGGCTCGCGGCAGACACTGCGATGTGGTGAATGCCGTTCACTGCTGAAGAGCAGTACACTGTCATTATTTTCCCTTCTCGGTCCAATATTTGGCGCAGAGAATTAGTAATTACTTTTTTACTTAATTAATTTCCGATACTTGTCACTGACTCATCCCCAAACCTGTTTTCCTCTTTTTATAATCTCCCAACCTGTTAAGAGAAAAAAATAAAATAGAAAATAAACAAACAGAAAAACCTCTAAGTTTTGTAGATAAAGAGGGGAAAGGGGGTTGAAGGCAGGGGAGGGAAATGAGGAAAAAAAGAAACAAGATTTATCATGTACAGGTACAAACTCCCTATGATGAATATGATCATTATGTAGATCTAAAATGTACCTACAAAATAAAAACTTAAAAAAATCATAAGAAAAAAATAACAACAGAAAAGACTCATCAGGCCTGTGAACAATCCTGGAGCCTCCGTTCTGTGCATGACCATGCTGGGATTCCACTCCTCCTTTCTCTGGAACTGGGTATGATGTTCTCTAGAAAGATGATCATCTTCCTTTTTCAGGATCATTTCCTTATTTTGCTAAAACAGTGATTTTCAAACTTGCAGTCTGGCATTATTATTGAAATTTAATTCTTGAAATTTTTATCAGAAAAATCATGTCAAAAAAAAATCCATGTAAATAATTTCAAGTCTCTGAAATAATTCACCAAGTAGATCAATGATTAGAATTCAAACTTTTGCCAGAGCAAAGCATCTACCAACCAATGCATGGATAGAGAAAACGTGGTACATTTCTACACAGTGGAATATTATTCAGCCACGAAAAGAGTGAGATCCTGTATTTTCAACATTACAAATGGAACCAAAGGACATTACATTACACAAAATAAGCCAAGGACAGAAAGACAAATACCACCTGATCTCACTCAGGTGGAATATAAAAAAAGATGAGAGCCAGGTGAGGTGGTGCACACCTGTAATCCCAGCACCTGGCAGGCTGAGGTGGGAAGATCACAGTGAGTTCAAGGCCAGCCTGAACTACATAGAGAAACACTGTCTTAAACACACAAAACAAAACAGAAGATGAATATAATGGTGGTTCCTAGAGGCTGGGAACAGCAATGTGTGTGTGTGGGCAGAGGAGGCTGGTCAAGTTAGAAAGGATAAATAAATTCTCATGCACTACTGTTCCATGTACATGGACTAATGATGATGTACAATATACTTCAAAAAGCGTGCTGGTCATGGTGGCGCATACCTGTAATCCCAGCACTGGAGAAGCCAAGGCAGGAGAATCGTCATGAGTTCAAGCCCAGTCTAGGCTAGACAGTGACCTCAAGGCCAGCCTGGAGTATATAGCAAGGCTCTGTCTTAAAAAACAAACCAACCAAAAACAAAAACAAAAATAAAACAAAACAAAACAAAACAAACAAACAAACAAACAAAAAAACCCCCAAAAAATCAAAAAAAAAAGGGGATGGGGAGGAAGGGCAGGAGGGTAGTTCAGTCCAAAGGCCCATCCTTTATACTGGGAAACACACATGCACACATACAAACACACAGAGTCTAAGGTGAAAAGTAGTGACCATCGTTATGGTTTGTGTCTAGATGTCCCCCCAAAGCCTCATGCACTTTTAGATGGGGCTTTTTCAGAGGTAGCTGAATTTAGTGTGTGACTGATTTGTAGTACAATGCTGGGATTAAGGGTGTGAGTGCTACACCCACTCTAGGGCAGGTAGCCTGCCTCCACAGAAGGGACAGAAAGAGGCTTGTCCTCTCTCTGCTCTCTTGTTGTTTTTGCTGTCTTCCACCACCATGAACTCTTGTTCCTCTGCCATCTGCCACCCTGCCTTGGAACCTGCTGACTATGGACTGAAAGCTACAAACTAAGCTAAATAAACTCTTCTCCCTTAACTTCAAGTATCAGGTACTTTGTCTCAGTGACAAGAAAAGTAGCACAACCCTCAAAACCTTAATGCTGCCCTTGAAGAGTTAAGAGACCACTCTGACTTCCAGTCCTTTGCCTGTGACTTTTGCCTCTGTCTCCGATGAGTCTCAGGTGATTTTCATCCACTATGCTGAGTGACTGCTGGCCTCTTCTCTGGCGAGTGCATACATGCGTGTGCGTGCGTGCATAAGGGCAGATTTCAATTTCAGAAACTGTTTTCTTTAGTCCTAGGAAACTGTCTTGAATTACTTTCTGGAACACTTACTTAGACTTCTGAGATTCATCATTCAGTTTCTTTTCTACTTTTTATCTCTTGGTCTTTTCGTTCTACAGTTAAGAACATTTTCTTCAACTTCATCTTCTACTCCTCTATTTATTTATTTTAAATTCTTTTTTTTTTTTTTTTTTGTGACAGGGTCTCGATAGGTAGTTCAGGCTGGCCTTGAAGTCACTATGAAGCCCAAGGTAGCATGAAACTCCCAGTGATCCTCCTGCCTCAGCCTCCTGAGTACTGGGATTATAGGCATGCATTACCATGCCCAGCTCACCTCTTGCTTCCTCTTAAACTTTAGGTTTTGTTTTCCCCACAGATATTCCTTTATTCTCTTTGTTAGAAGAGGCTTTAATTAAACTACCATTACAATATCTCACAGATCTCAAGAAAACATGCCTTAAATTCATCTGGAACCAGAAGAGACCCAGAAGAGCAAAAGCAATCCTGGGCAA